AAATAAATAAATAAATAGATAATGTAAATATTTTTATAAATTTACATGTACAGAAATTCCATTCTACACCGGTGTCTCATACATCTCACATAATATGTACTTATTCAAGTCAAGTCTTATGTCCACAGGAGGCACATTCTCCACAATCGAGGGTGAGGAAGAGATGAAAAGCATGGCGCTGACGATCACGAAAACAATTGGCCTTGACATCTCTGGAATCGACTTTTTAATCGATAAAAATGGAGAGATAATCTTTCTGGAAGCTAATGCCTGTCCAATGCTTTGTGTCGACGACGCTACAGTTGACGCGGTGATTGATTTCTTTCTGACTTGTTCAACAAAGTAAACATCAGCGTCCTGAAGTTGAGAATGATCGCTGGCGTTAAATTATCGGCTAGCATGCCCCGTTGAAGTGTATTGCAAAATTAAGGGGGAAAGGAGAGGGGGGGGGGGTACACCCTGAAAGCCTCGATTCCAATCAATTGCATGGATTTTGAGATGTATGAAAATTTGCCTTCTTCAGCCTCTCTTAATGACAAATTTTGGCTTTTTTTTTTCAATTTTTGAAGGCCTATATCTTGGAAACCAGTCATTCTAACATGCTTTGATTTAGAGATATCAATATTGTTGACAGCTCTGGGAAAAACAAAGTTTTCATTAATTTGATCATGCACTTTGTATTTTAGAACACCTCAAACATGGGTGAAAGTCGCATTTGAAAAGGTTTCGTTCAAAAATAAAACTTTGAAATACCATATCTCGATTGTTTATTGATGGATTTTGATAATTCTTTTTTAATGTCCTTGTTTCATAGAGTAGATGTGAACCACTGAGGTTTAAACGTTAATATTGTTCAAAAATATTTTCGCTTGTGGTACCTACTCATACAACTACTAGTTAATCGCATAAGAACCCCCTGAAGCCTAATTTTGATACGTCAGACATGTAAGTCACCACCATCTCCTCATAAAGTTAATTTTTCCCTTTGTCGCCCGTTTTCTCAAACCACAGTTTTTACTAAAGCGTATATATATTTCTTTGAATAATTTAACCTTTTTTCATCAAAATCTTTATGACGTATTAATCGAATGAAGAGTAGATGTAACACTAAAAAGCACCCTGTTGAATTTCAAATAGATAGGAGTGTGGATGTTCACTAATTTTTGCAACCTTGAATACTACCTCACGAAAACAAAATAATTAATATTTTTCTAATTTGTTTAGGAAAATTCAACAGGCCATTTTGTAGAACTATTGTGCGCAAAATAGCAACATATTTCCATTGAAAGTAACTGAGATATTAACTGTGTAATACATGTCAACAAAATCCAATATAGCCGCCATCGCCATGGACGCGAACCTGTTTTCTGAAATTTGATTGCGGGTTTGGAGACTCTTCACTATGTTCTTTATCAGTGGGAAATTTCGTAAAATGTTATCTACGGTATAAATAAGGGAGATAGCCCTCAAGACAGTGTACACA